TCCAATTAGATTTTGGGAAAATTACAAAAATGCCATTTTTTGTGTGCACATTTGCAAGAATGCCACTTAGAGGTGCCTATTTGCAAAAATACCACTAATTATAGATTTATAAAGCTTATATCTTAAAATTCTAAACCCTAAAAAATGTTTTGACCCCTAAAACCCTCCTAAACCCTCATAACTAAACCCTAATAGACATAATTAACTCAAACATAAATGATATAAAGAAAAAATAATTTTGAAAAAGTGGCATTTTTGTAAAGATTTCAAAAGTGGCATTTTTGTAAAATAACACTTGAAAAGTGGCATTTTTTGAAATTTCTCATAGATTTTGCCACATGTCAAACAACTTTTTAAAATAAAAACTTATTTATTTGTATTTATCAATTAGATATTTTAATTTTAAATAGAAATAGATAAAACAATAAATCAAATACCTTTTTTCTATTGGGATAATATAATATACATGTAATTGTTTTTAGTTTAAGTTTAAATATCCAAAATTTCATATTTATTTACATACTTTTATGCGCTCTCTCTATTCTACGCAATTTTAAACTTCAATAATATATTCCATATAACTTATTTGTTTTGATTTTTCATCAGAAACGATAGATTATTATATTTTTTGGTATGTGAAATAGAATATGACAATATATTTTAGGTTTTTGAGCTTAATATGATTCATTCTAACTAGATTTTTTTGTTTGTTGTTGACAACATTGATATGAGGTGTAATAATTTATTTTTTTCAATTTTTGCTTGATTTGTTTTACGTTTAATAATTACTAAAATGGTAAAAATAATTTATTGGGACATTTACAAAAATACCACTTTTTGTGTCCTTATTTGTAAAAATGCCACTTTTGATGTCTATGTGCAAAAATATCACTAATTATGATTTTTAGAGCTTAAATCTTAAAATTCTAAACCCTAAAAAAATTTTAGACCCCTAAAACCCTTTAAATCCTCAAAACTAAACCCTAATACAACACAGTTAACCCAAACATAATTGGTATGATGAATAAATAATTTTGAAAAAGTGGCATTTTTGCAACTATTGTAAAAAGGTGGTGTTTTTGTAAAGTGGCATTTTTTGAAATTTCTCTAATTAATTTTACAAATTCAGATTTTTATTCAAGATAATTAATCTTATGAGGCATGTTTGAGTCAATCGGTTAGATTTAAACAAGTATAACATATATATTTTTAATTAGATTTAGCCACAATTCAAAAGATTTATCTATTTAAAAATAATACTATCTTGATTTGGTAAATAATAAAAGAAGTAAAATGTAATCCTACTTTATATAGGATTAGAAATATTTAACTGCTCGAATATATGTGATATAATTTAGTTA